ACCCAAACAAAACACACTCCTATACTCACCTCTGACGTTCCATGGACGTCCGAAGAAAGAAACAACAACTCCATGAAAGACGAGCCTGAAACGCTACATGACTTTTGTGCCAAGCTGATTGGACAGCTGCCCAGGTCAATGGTTCAAACAAAGGTTACTTACTATCCAAACCCAACTGGTATAAAGGAACAAATTGACAAAACATAATATGCATTCATATGTATATAATGTGCATATATACTTACAAGTGCATACATTCACATATATATATATTATCTAGACACACACACATATATATATATTATTAATTATACGTGTATATTATAAATAAAGGTGTCATACATCTAAAACCCGCGGGTCTCATCGGGTCTCACTTTTTTCACCACATCCCCACGGCCACCGCTCCGCCCCACCGTGCTTGTACGCCGGACTGAGGTGAAGAACGCCTTAGCTGCCGCGATGAAGGCCCGCAGCCCGGAGCAGCTGCGGGAGGCACGGGCGCTGCTCTGTGCAGCACGGACAAGTCATCCAGGCTGCCAGAGAAAAACAGACTGTACTGGTAGACGGTCGACGGCAAAAATAACAATTACTCCAGAATGGTGATACATCCGGGTTTTGATTCAGTCTACATCCGTGTGTTGGACCGGTTCTGGCCAGGCCTTGCAAGCCGCCATGGATTCCAAGCTTCAAGGCGTGGCCGTTTCCGAGGTGCCCACTAGAGACACTAGTAGTCACTAGTCACTATATAAGCACTATGGTCAGGCTTTTTTGGGGGGTCAGTTTTTGTTCCAAAAGAGAAGAGAGGTCTCGGAGGTGGATTGGGGACGATGGGTGATGTGGACCTCTGATTAAAAGCGGGCAAATCTTGAAATCTTGGTTTACGCAAAATAAAGTGCATCCCAGGTTCCAAGAAAGGATTTGAATTAGAAATCAACTTATCCCTTACTAAAACGAATATGAACATCAAATTTAAATTCAATTGACTCAGAATTGAGTTAGAATATAATCAGAATTGAATTAGAATTAAAATAGAATTGAATTCAGATTGCATTAGAATTAAAGTAGAATTCAATTTAGATTGAATTAGAATGGAATTGGAATTGAATTGGAGTTGAATTAGAATTGAATTGGAATTGAGTTTGATTTGAGTTGAACTCGAATTGAATTGGATTTGACTTGAATTAGAATTGAATTAGAATTGAATTGGAATTGAATTAGAATTGAAATGGAGTTGAATTTGAATTGAATTGGAGGTGAATTCGAATTGAATTCGAATTGAATTGGACTTGAATTACGGATTTGCATTGAATTGAATTGGCATTGAATTAGAAGTGAATTAGAATTGGGTTTGACTTGAAGTGGAATGGAATTAGAACTGACTTGGAATTGAATTAGAACTGAATTGGGGTTGTATTGGAAATGAATTGGAATTGAGTTTGATTTGAGTTGAACTCGAATTGAATTAGAATTGGGTTTGAATTGAATTAGAGTTGAATTCTTTAGTTACGGTAAACTTTATTTATGGTTTGGTGGCTTCATGGGGAGAACCCTTTCCAAAGTAGTTTTGATCAGTTTTCAATGGCGTTTAAATAGGGGATGTATAACGAATTGTTGTCAGATGGCTTTTTGGATTGAAAATAGAATGTTGTGAGATAAACAGAAATTAATAAAGAAGGAATCCAAAGAAGCAGTCTGCTATATGGATATATGTTTTTTGTGTTTTATATATATATATGTGTGTGTTGTATTTTTCTATTGGCGTTTTTTTTTATGTATTGTCTATGTATGTGTTTGTTCAATGAGATAGCTTTATGTAGGGGTGTTATTAATCAGGGCGAAATTTTGCTAACTTTATTTCGGGTCCCTTTATTAATCATAGGTCAACATTAAGACGAAACACAGGTGGATTGGGTCCGATCCGACATTTGAATACATTTCAGGTGACCATGCTTGTGCAAAATGTTTCAGGCCCAGAGTATGTGTTCGGAGAGTGCCAGGGGTTAAGATTCAACGACGGGGCAACTGGGGTATGAACATTATCCGCGCGAGTTTTCTTTTTACTTTTTTGGAGTGGGTCGGTACCGACGAATGTTTTGAGGCATTGACAATGCCATCACTCTCCTTGACAAGCTGGAAGCTGACCTGCATTAAGTGGCTGCAGAGTGGACAATGTGACGATTGAGAGCAGAGTGCTTTGCTTTCGTGATTGCACTGTTTTCGTTGCTTCCTCCGAACACGACCAATGCTTTTTGGCTCCACCTTGCTGTCAACTGGTTGAAACTGCTCAGAGTAAACCGATGTAAACCGGCTGTTAACAGTTTGTTTTGCTTCAGGGCCTGGTCTCCTTTTGTTCTATTACATCGTTTGTATGGTCTTTGCCATCTCCGCCAATCCATCCAGCAGGACAGTGGCCCATGCCAGGAACTTGCAGCTGGTAAATATATGGCTCAGCCAAAGTAGTTATATACTGCATATAGTGATCATCATCGTGACTTCCGCTGCCGGCCGACTCATCCTTTTTCATCTCACCCCGGCATCGATGCCTGCACCGTTTGGGCGCAGTGCTTCGCGGTGGTCTCCAAGGACCACGTGGTGGAGCGCCTGGATACCGCCAAGGGCCTCACGCCTTTGCGCGCGGCCATTGAGGCCTCCGAAGCCGCCAGGTGCGTGGTGCCTGGAGATGGATGAGGGGTTGGGAACCACTGGTACTGCGAAGGAGCTAGTGATTGGGGAGGGGGTTGTGAGTGAGGAGTGGTTTCTGTTTTCATGCACATTGAGAAGCATGCGAAGTCAGTCGAGTGAGAGTTTGAAAATACTGGAGTAAATGTGTGATACTGATTCTCCCAAACTTCATTCACACACACACACACCATCACACGGCCATGCATTCCTTGTAGCAGTATGACAGATGGCAAAGATCTCTCCAGGCTGCCTGAAGAGATCGTGGTCGTGGCACGTGATCGACTGCTGCGCCGGGAGGCATGAATTGCCAACGACAACGTGGTTCTCCTCCCGTTGTCGTCAGCTTTTGCTTTTGCAGTGGGTTGTCGTAAATAAAGACGCTGGATTCTGGATGGCTTCTTGAAGCGTGACCCCTTTCCGTGACCCCTTTCATTTTCCTAAGCAGCCTTGTGCAGGGTCCATGTGTTTCCATCCAAACGGGTGTAATTGTGTTTTGTTAGACCCTGGTATTTTGACAGTTATTTTCCCAGAGCAAATGCACCTATTCAACATGTTGTGAGCCATGAACTCATAGATAGATAGATAGATAGACAGACAGATAGATAGACAGATAGATAGATAGATCGATAGATAGATAGATAATTAGATAGATAGACCATCATCCGGCGTAGCCGTATGATGCACACATATGCGCACCGTCACAGAATGAAATCCTAGTTCGGGCAAGCCCCGCGCTATGCGGTGTTGATGGGCCCCCCTGTGGATGATGTGTTCCTCCTCGACAGTCCTGATTTGCCTGTTCAGGCGGCGCAGAAAGGTTTGGAGCAAGCCATCGAAGCTGCTCGAGTGCCTGATCTTTTGGAAGCCTTGAGGGTGGCCGAAGGCCGCTGAAACCGGATGTGCGGCCTGGGTGGGTGCTGCATCCGCTGCTGGAAATAGCTCTTGTTACAAGGAACTTTGTACTTCTAGAATCCTCGCATGCGGTTTGTAATAGCTTCAATTTGGTTTCTTTGTGTTCTGGCTATAGCAGCTAGCACGCGGGTCCACTTATATAGATGTTGCGTGATGTTGCGATTCAATGCAGGTTGATGTGCATTTAGGCCCCGCATCACCACCCGATTGGCAATCCAAAACTCCTTGCTCCTGAGCCGATCCCAGGTCCACCTTTGACTCGGGTTCTTATAGGTATTTTATTCCAAACATCACCGTAATTTCGCAGTAGATTGCCATTGTTGCACCCTCAGCGGTCTCACCGGCCTTTGCCCAAGCACCATGAACCGTCGCATCTGTCGCCAGGCATGGACCTGCCGGCGGAACCGGAAGCTCGTGAACGAGTGGAGCTCTTGGGGCAAACCCAGGGAGCCTTGCAGCAGCTTGGGCGAGAGACCGAATCGAAGAGCTCGCGGAACTTCGCGTCGGGCGACGTTTGTCGGGGGGCATTGTCGGGGCGAAGAAGGTGTACAAAGAGCTGAGGTGGAGCTCAACAGTGAGCTCAACAGTGTGATGGTGGAACTATGGAGTTTGCAATGGACTGTGGGCTGGTATACTGTAGATGTATCTTCCTGCATAGGGCAGCGTTCCAAAGATTGACGTACTTGTAGGTGCAGATGAACTTTGCACGCTTCCATGATGCAAAGGCTTCACTAAGATTCCAAGTGTTACGGACAAGCTCGGTAGGTTGGTGTCTAAAACATGAAACCCTTCACGGGAACACATTTAATTAAGCTTACTTCAACTTGAGGAACAAGGGACGTTAAGCGTTTGAAATGGAACTGGAGGAGTGTCCCCCTTGATCCAGAAGGGGAGTGCCAGGGCTTCAAGGCGACTTAAGGGTTTGGGCTTGGGAAAGGATCAACTCCTGGGCCAATGTGCAGGCGATGAAGTTCAGTTACCCGGACCCTCCAAGGGGTGCCCAATGGAAACCTATAGGTAGTGTGGGGTAGTCCATTGGACACCCCTTGGAGGGTCCAGGTATATGTAGTTATATGCAAAAACTGCCTTTAGTTCCGTTGCCGGTGACCGGCCCGGTGGCTTTGTTTACCCAGAGACTGACTCGAGTTCTGTGCGTCGTGAAATCGCACAGAGTGCCACAAGACGTTTGCGCAATGGCCTCGCCGCTAATACCTCGGCAGGTATCGCTTCGGCACAGCTAGTGTCAAGAGTTTTCCTGGTGTGATCTCAGAATTGCTTTAGCCTCCTGTTGCCAGCATGCCCAACAAAAATGGATACAGTAACATGTTATTTCAATGGAGCAAGTCCAAGCACAGCACCATGGAGTCAACATGATGTGTACAATTATTGGTCCGACTTAGTTGACAGTACTTTCAAATTGCTGCAGTTCCTCCACCTGATTGCACCATGGCGTTGCCAGTGGTGTTACCTTCAGCCAGTGATTGCATCAAAGAGTTTGATTTGGATGGTGATGGTTTGCTTTCTCACAGTGAGCTGGGCACATGTTTGGAGGTGCTCCTGACACGTTTGGGTTCTCCAGATGAAGAAGCCAGGCGCATTTCCAGGTTGATCGTTGAAGAGTGGTCCCTCCGTTCAGACTACGCCGCCGGCGCTGGCGCCGTGGACCGCTTGTTGCGCGCAGCCATGGAACGTACTGCGTGCGTTGAGAAGAGTGAGTGATGGCGAGATGCTTCATTTGGGTGAGAGCTGACATGAAGAAGCAAACAGACTTCACCACACGAGGGAGAGTCCCCTTGGAGAAGCCTTCCAGAGTGGAAGCCGGAGAGAAGTGACGCCGGAGAGGTGTTCTCGATGCAGAGATGAAACGCGCGTTTGGGCTGGAGAAGAAGAAAAAAGGGCATCAATGACAGGGTGGCGCATGATTTGCACAACATTATATATCAACGTATATGTATGACATGGGGTAGTAATAGTCCAACAAGTTTGCAGGCATAGCCCTAGCTCTTCCAAAAGAATGCATGGAGATGGAGATGTGGACTCAAAAACCACAGGGTTCCAACACTGCTCCACCAAAGTCAAACACCTCATCCACGGCGGCTATGTCCTCCGCCCCCCCCTGCTCCAACTGGGTTTTCGCCGCCCGAGGAAGGCCATGAGCACGAAGGTGATCCCAGACCTCTCAGCCGCATTGACCTTGGCAGCTTGGCACCGGCATTCATTTGGCCGCATTTTTCAGCATGTTCTTGGCGCCCGGAAAAAACATCTACACGTGTTTTGTTAAGGGCCCGAATTGGACCCTTTAGACCAACTCAAGGATGGTAACATGTGGTGACTTAGGGCTATATAGTGCTTGCATATGGCTTTTTATATACATATAACTATATATAGTTATATATGTGTTTAATATATAATATGCTTCTATAATAGTCAGTGCTTTATATTGTTGTTGTTTTGGCTTGTGCCCGCCTTCTCCCTCCCTGGCAGGCTGGCAAGGCGGGGCTGAAGGAGCATCAGATGATCCACGAAGCGCGAGCTTTGTTGACAAAGCACCTTGGCGCTGAGATGCTCGGAGTGCCGGAGTGCTTGAAACTCACCATTTCAAGCCAAGTCCCAGAAGCATTGATTAGACATGCAACTAATTAGATACACACCATGCACAGGTAACCACTGGATCCACTGGTTGGTCATTGCTTGGGTAATTCGATGTAATTCGTTTGTTTCACCGTCACCCGAGGCTCATGAACCGCCGCGAGAATGTCAAGAAGGAGCTGGAGAAAGCCATGAAGTTCCGCCCTTCGGTTGACCGGTGTTGGGGGGAACGAATTCCGTACAGTGGTTTCAGAGTAGATGGCACAGACACCGTGATTGCAAGGAATCAAATCAACGGTTCGGGAGGAAACTCTGATGGTTTGTTCAAGACATTGTTTCTTCAATTGAGCAACTATCGAAAGGGTTCACCTCAGCAGTATGTAGAGATGAATATTTTCAGATATTGTTGAATAAACAGAAACCATGGAAAACGATACCAAAAACAAAAAAAAAACAAAACGATACCGTTTCAGTGTTCTATGTGTGCAAGTAATGTGTGTGCGCTCTTCGGAAGGCAAAAGTGTACACGTGTCCCACTCTTTGAGATTCCACTTGATTCATTTGCATACTCTTCACTTGTAGCAAGGGGCACCTGAAGCAGAGATAGGACAGGTGCCAACGAAGACACCGATCTCTTGCGTGTGATATCGACGGTAGAATGGTAGAATGTGTGATGTTGCTTGGAAAACGATGCCAAAACATTAAAAATTTTTAAAACCGATCCCTTGTTGCATTGCAAGTGGAATCAATTGGTTGTTTTCTATTTCAGCTTTGTGCCAAGCAGCAACGTCCCGGAATGAGTCAAGTAATTAAGTTAAGAGACCGGAATCAGCAACGATCCCGTGTTTGGGGGGAAGCCCTGGCACCCAAAACATTCCAACACCATGATGTGAGAGTCATTCGCTAGTAGAAGATGTTTCAACACTTTCAACACGTTCAATTCCGAAACCTTGTGTTTTTTTGTGATATTGATCCAACTGGCTTTGCATTGGTTCAAAACTATCTACATGAAGAGGACTACAGAGTGTCCCTCTTACTGGCTAAGCTTCTTGCCAGGTCATCCGGGGAAGCTGAAGATTACAATCATGTCCGCGCGACTGGCGCAAGTGAGCTTGAAACGCATCATCGACGCAGCGCCTTGCCCTTTGTGAATTCAGTGTGTGGAAGAGGGCCTGTTCTTTCTGCGTGTTGCCACCCTGCTTTTTGCGTACTTGGCGCATGAGCAACGGCACAGCAGACGACTTTCAGTACCATGCCATAGGCCACTACACACCTCACCACTGTCACCACCACACCCCATCATGAGTGATTTCTTCCCTCCGCATTTACCCGTACCAACCGGATCGAGGAGAACGTCCGGAAGCACGTGGAGGAGCTATTAGAGGCCATGGGTGCAGCTGCGGGAGTTGAGGAGCGGGAGCAGACCTTACAAGCCGCGGTGCCTCGAATGTGAAGACGGTGTGATGGGGCAGGGCAGCCTAGGCATGGTGCAGAGGATATGCAAGATCCAGTGTCCTGTAGGTGCATCATGGTGCATCTAGCGAGCATGTGATAAGGTTGGGTTGCTGGGTGTCTTGGTGAAAGGAAGCAGTGGTATGAGTATGACATACTGTATATATATATATATATCTGTGTGTGTGATTGTGTGTGTACATATGTGTTTTTAGTTATTGAAAAAACAACATCGTTTGGCCACTGCGGCCGGGGGCCAAACCATCTCCGGCCGCGCGATGGACATGGTTGGCCGCCAAGGTGGACTACCAAGTCCCAGCAGAACTCTTGAAGAGATTCGCTGCTTAGCAGAGCGATGGGAACCACGCTACACTGCAGATTCTACGGTTCGATGAAACGCTTGGAAGGGGCCATTTTCTAAGAGAACGGGTTGGCATGTTGGGCTTTCAGGCTGTGCCATCTAACCTGCGCAGCAGGTGTACGTCCGAGCCCAGGAGATCGAATTGGAGGAGCTTAAGAATCTCCACGACGCCATTCGGCATGGAGACCCTGAGGTGCGGACGACCGCGGACAACCGCCGGCCAGTCGGCTTAAAACACCAACAGCCGGTCGGCTGATTCATGATGTAGATGTGGTTGACAACCATGGTGCAAGAACTGCAAGAACCATGGTGCAAGTCAGTGTCCTGATCCAGTTCGTTACACGCTTTGTCACTACAATTGTCAGGGTGCCTGCCAAGGCAGTCGGATGCAGTTGGAAGATGTTGATGTGTTGTATGAGCCACACTTGTTTCCCCAAGTCTCAACAATACAGTATATGCAGATATATGCAGTAATATGCACAGTATATCCTAGTATGGTCTATATTAGTTATTGTAGAACCCAGATATTGAAGAGGGGTCATTCAGGTTCTAAGATGTATCAGGGTGTGTGAATCTCATGCGAAGGCTGCCATCCTGAACAGATGCTTGTTGCCGTTCATGTTTCTTCCACCGCACCGCACGGCGCACGTCGCGCACGGCGCACGCGGCGCAGCCCCTGTGGCCTTCGTCGCGGCGGGCTCTTCATCGGCGCTGCAGGTGCTGCGGGAATGCATCGAGAAGTGCGAAGAGCTGGGAATTAAAGTGGTTGAGCTCCTGGAGGCGAAGCTATGAGGACGTTTTCGGTGCTAGGCGAAGCCATGGAGGGCGCTCCAAATATGTCCAAATGCTATTTTCATGTAGTTTCGCTAAAGTAGTTTAAACATCGATCATTTTTGCATCAAAACGCTATATTCGTGGTGTTTACGGTCGCTCTATCAGGGCAAGCGTGGAAAACCATGTTGGTGGGTATGCTTGTTTTTGGTGCGGTGGTTCCACAAGGATGCACGGTGTCACTTGCCAAACCGTGCGGTGGGCAGCAGGCTAGTCGCAATGCGTGTTGGCTACCGAACAACCTGTTATATAACTTGGCAAGCATCAAGAATCAAGACTCGCTAGGTGGTTGGAATTTGAAACGATAGCAGAAATTGTGTTCTTCGGCCTTCTCAATTGTGCTCAGGCCAGAGTTCTCTACCGTGACTGGGCGGCTGCTTGCGCCAAAGTGGATCTTGAGGCCTTATTTCGATGAGACATCACCATGGGCTTTTCAAGGGCCTGGAATATGCAAGCCTCACTTGCTGGTGGTTTTGGGGGAGCTATAAGAAGAATTCAGGAGCTAGAGGAAGTTCCCCTAGCACTTGCCCAGCTCACCATGCTTAGGCAGAGCTCAAGAGCCCAGCTCACCATGCTTCCCCAGTGTGGCTGACCGCCAGGGATCTTTGGAACGTGTGGAGCATTTGCGCGAGGCCTTGAAGGGAGCCAAGGAGCGAAAATAGATGGCTCTCGAGAACGGTTGGGGTGGAAACAGTTGTTATCTAATGCACCGTGAAGGAATCTACCACAGGCATTAACTTAGCACATTCTTAGAGGCTTGGAATACTTCTCCATCTACCGGCTTGGTGCCAGGAGATCAGACATGTGTGTGTGTGCGTGTGTGTGGAAAAGCTATATCGGCCGGCTCACCCATCGGCCCGGCTTGGTCCTATAGTTGGTATAGTTTCCACGAAACGAATTGGCAGAATACTGTTTCCGCTCGGCTTTTCTGAGGCGGCGAAAAAGCGGGATTCTGTTTGTTCGTTTTGAGCTAATGCTTAGGACCGGCTTAGGTATGTTTGGACCAATGTTGAGCAAGAAGATGCAAGAAGCTATACATCCCACTGCAGACAGCAGAAGCTATCCTGTGGCAATGAGTTGAGAGATGTCCATGCAGGCTGCTTTTTAAAATAGAAAACTTCAAGGGACTAAGTGATACAGTGAAGCAGTTATTTTTGTTTGTCACTTTGTCAGGGTTTGATCTACCACTACCACTTGCTATATTGGGCCAAGGGCAGACAACAAAAGGCTCGATAATCATTTGTTTGGAGTTTGGAATGGCTGGTGGAAAAGTACAAAGTGAATGTTGTTTCGAGACTGTCAATGATACGGTCATGAGTCGTGATTTCAGAGTCATGTATAAACCAGATTTTGACATGTGGTTACATGTGGTTCAAGACAGTTTTGAGCAACTTTGGTCGCAAAGTACTTTGCAGGAGCTTGGCGTCAACGCATTGGTTTTGACCAAGGGCACGGAGTGCCTGCGGCAACTGGAGAAGAAAATCAAAACGGAGCAGGAGTTTGTCGGTTTGTATTATGTTGCATGGCTGCTGGCCTCCATCTCTACAGTCTGTGTGAAATTCATTGCACCTTTTTTGTTGGGGTGCCTTCACCCTGGCCTTGCTCTTTGTGCATGTAAGTGCTGGCATGGCTTTAGATTGCCGATTGAAGGTCTTG